AATGTGGAACAATAATGGCATTATACAATAGAAACATTGCTTTATCATTGAATAACTCTCTAACTTTGTACATTACTGCAATCGATTTAGCTATTTTAGTTCTTAAGGTTTTTATGTGTGATCTCCATGTTAGTTTTTCATCAATGATGACACCCAGAAATTTCACCTCATTGACTCTATTCATTTCAATTCCATCGACTCTAAATGGAGTATCAAGCACTTTCTTGTTGTTACTAAAAATCATATAATTTGTTTTATCTACATTTAAAGATAATTTGTTTAGTTGAAACCAATTTTGTATTTTCACAAATTCTGTTTGTGCCATCTTCAGCATTTGCACAACATTTTCACCCACACAAAGAAAAGTAGTATCATCTGCAAACAAAATACATTTAAAAAATCCAGTCACATTTACCAGGTCATTCACATATAAAATAAATAGCTTAGGTCCAAGTATTGAGCCTTGAGGCACTCCACATGTAATATTACAGAGTTCAGATTTTACATCATTTATTTGAACAAATTGTTTCCTTTTTTCTAGATAACTAGATACCCACTGCAATGCATGCCCTCTAATACCATATTTATTTAGTTTTTTGAGAAGAATATTGTGATCAATAGTATCAAATGCTTTCTTTAGATCAACATAAAAACTAATACAATATATTTTTTGATCCACAGCAGTCGTTATCTGTTCCATTAAATCCATGAGTGCCATTGACGTAGAATTTTTAGGTCTAAACCCATATTGACTATTACTTAATATATTTTGCTTATTGATAAATTCATCTAATCTAGTGACAAATAATTTCTCTAAAATCTTTGAAAATTGTGGCAACAACAATATTGGCCTGTAATTATTAAACACACGTTTCTCTCCACTCTTATATAATGGTATTACCTTGGCTATTTTCATGTTATTTGGAAATACCCCTGTTGAAAATGATAAATTACATATATATGTAAATGGCTCAATAACATAACTCATAATATTCTTTACCAGCATCATATCCATGTCCATCCAGTCTTTTGATTTTTTATCTGCAAGATGTTTTACGATAGTCATAATTTCTTCTTTATCAGTTCCCCCAAGAAAAAAACTGTTTGTGTGATCTGTAACCGTATGGTTTACATTTTTATCTATATTTGGGATTTTTGCTGCCAGACTTGGGCCAATATTCACAAAATGTTCATTGAATCCATTTACGATTTCATTTTGGTCATAAATGTCTTTGTCATCTTTTACAAAATATTGTGGAATGCTCAATTTTGTTTTATGATTATTCAGAACACTGTTCATTATTTGCCATGTTGCCCTCATATTTCCATTACTTTTGTCTAATAATTCACTGTAATATTTCTTTTTATGCTTTCTTATAATCCCTCCCAATTTATTTTTATAATTTTTATATCTCTGTTCTGCTTCGTTTGTTCTTAATTTCAGAAAGTTTGAGTATAAGTAGTTATTTTTTTACAAGCATTTCTTAACCCTTTGGTCATCCACGGTTTGTCATCAACACGTTTCTTTGTGTAATTTTCTTGTACACAATTTTTTTCATATAAAGCTCCTAAAATATTCATAAATACATCATATGCTTTGTTTACATCATCAACATATACATCCTTCCAAGTTTGTTTTGTTAAATCTTCTTTTAGTTTATCTAGAGCTTTCTTTGATGTGTTTATTATTTTTTCCATAATTTTATCTACTTTCACATCATATTGATCTTTTTTATAGATAGTGAAGACTGGTAGGTGGTCACTGACATCCGTGATCAAAATGCCACCCATAAGTTCTTTATTTGTTATATTTGTAAAAATGTTGTCAATTATTGAAGCACTATGGGCAGTAATTCTTGTGGGTTTTGAAATCAATGGATAAAGATTTAAACTGTGCATTGAGTTTATAAATGTTCCGATACTATTTGAGTCTGTTTTATTTCCCAGGTCTATATTAAAATCTCCACACAAAAAAACTGAGTTATTAGAACTTTTTTCCAATATTGTCATGATGTGATTGGTGAATGATTCAATATTTGAATCAGGTGATCGATATACGCAACTTATCATTATATTTTTGGAAGTCTCGTTTAATATTTCAACTGTAATCATTTCCATAATGTTATCCACAGCTACTGACAATTTATTGATTATTTTACATTTAATTTCCTTATTTACAAGTAGAGCTACGCCTCCACCTCGTTTATTGTTTCTGTTCACATGATAAAGTTCATACCCTTCAATATTAACACTTTTTATATTTTCCTCATTTAGCCATGTTTCTGAGACTGCTATTATACTGAAAGCTCTGTTTAACTGATTTAAATAATCTGTTATTTTAGATAAATTAGTGTTTATACTTCTACTATTAATATGAATAATGGAGAAGTCATCTTTAGACATTTTAATTTCATTGAATTTTTCTTCATTGTAATACTCACACTCTTTAATTTCAGGAAAAAAGTTTTTATCAATCACATCATCTATATTGTAAATTTTAAATGTGTGTAAAATATTTAATTACACACATTTGAGTAGATGTAATAAATGACTGTAATTCCTGTTTAAATGCAATTCATCCTGCCATACCTGCAGTATCTTCAGACTTTGCCAGCAAATTAAAAGTTGAAGCTTAATCATTAAATTATTATCTTTGTGTTAGATTTATTTATAAATCACATTTAAACACTGCTTGTACCAATTAAATAAAATAAAAAGTAACACGTTCTCTATCACCGTCATTAATCAGATAAACAAACAAACAAGCAGCTTCATCTACCAGACAGACTGACGTTACATTTTCTCTCTTGAAACAGAACAATGTGTTAAATTGTAGAGACTCACCTGCAACACGAGTTGGGAGTGAAACATGTATCAGCTGCAGCTCCTTCCTCCTCCTCTTGACTCCCACATGTTTACGTTTTATCTCCGTGGTTCTCACGTGTCGTGTCGTCACTTTTCAAAGCTGCATGTTTCTCATGTTTTATCTTTGTGAAGTTCTCCCACTCTTTGGAGGACTTGGGTCGAACAGTTTTCGCTGCGTCGGTCATTTGTAAAATTTACTTAATTTCCTTTGAAAACAGCCTCTGCTCTGCCTCCCCCCTCGCTCTGTTCAACTCGCGCTGCAGTTTTTTTTTCAAACTTTATTCAGTCAGTCAGCATTGACAATGAACTGCAGGTGAACAAAACGAAACGGCTCCGCAGCGCCGTGAGAGACGCATAATCGCACGACACAACGAATCGATAATCAAATTCGTTGCCAACGCTTTTAATCATCGATTTTTATCGATTTTATCGATTCGTTGTTGCAGCCCTACACTAATTTCAACTTTTTCCTGCCTAATTCAGTGAAAATGTGATGCCCCATTTGCTCATGTTTCTGCCCATCCTGCCATACTCCTGCCTTCATGCTCTGTGTTCTCTTGCCATAGTTTATTTCCCTGCTTTGTTTTGCCTATCCTCTCTCAGCTCAAACCTGCTCTTGTCACTCCATGCCACGCCTCCCTTGTTCCTCCACAGCAATCAGTCCTGATTCCACGCACCTGTTATCTGCAATATTGAAGGTCCAGTCACTTCCTCGTTGCCAAATTATTAAACCTTCCATGGTGCCTGATTCTGAAACCTTCATAGTTCCTGTTTTCACACCACAGCCTGGATTACCTGTCCTTGTTTCGACCTCACGCCTGTACAACGGATTCTTCGCCTTGCCTGCCTCTTCGCTCTCAGACCACGGTAACGACCCTGCCTCCCCCCCCTTCTATGACTACGGATCACGACTTGGCTCTGGCTTCTGCTCTCTGTTTCCCCGTGTATGACCCCTGCTTCTTTATCTGGACCTTGCTTTTGAACTTGCCCCCCACATACCACAGCTGCTCTGCTCTACTGCCAGTGACATCATCGCTGCAAATGTCAGGTGACTCTATCCCCCCAGCCAGAGAGAAACTGGTGATACTGTTGATCCGACTCCTCCATCCAGCAGCTCCTGGATAAAACTTTGTGCACTCCTGTGTCTGGCTTATACTGAATCCAAAACAGGTTCATGACAGAAAATGTGCTCTTTCCACTTCCTTCAGGCAATTTAAGCTTCCTTCTACTTTTCAGCTGTTTATTTTTTTGTTGTTGTTAATTTCAGCCTTTTTTTAGCTACTTTTCTCATTTTTCTGCATATTTAAACCTAATTCAGCAAATAAGGTTGAATCATGTCATCTGGACTTCATTTTTTTTTGTTAAAAAAGAAACGTTTCGCCCCTCATCCAAGAGGCTTCGTCAGTCTGAGGCCTAGCCATCTGGTATTACCCAGAAGCCACCCTGACTCTTGTGTTTCAAGCCTGCCTCAGATACCCCTGAAGTCTGGCCTTTTCACTAATGGTTTCATTAGTGAAAAGGCC